AGCCCTTATGGCTTTTTGATATGCCTATGTAGCTGCTTTTCTTTCCATTTCCCCTACTATGTGCCAGGTTACAGAAACACTTCCAAGCAGCAGATTCAGAAATAGAAAGGGTTCAAGGCCAGGTTTCACACCTGCAACCTTGCAGCTCTGGGCTGTTCCAACCCTGAAGACCAGACTCTTTACTGTAAATCCAAGGCTTCCTCTAACATCCAGTTTTACATTCAGCAATTCCAAATGAAGTTTATGGTTTTTTACTTATTTGTTTGGGGCAGGAAGGGATGGGAGGAGGAGGGAGAAGGAATACTGCATGGAAGCTATGTAACCACTACATGTATCACATTTTACTTTGATGAAGTAATTTAATTGAATGCCACAGTAGTTCATCCAAATTAATTTATCACCAAATTTAAGATACTGTCTCAAATTCCCACCAAAAAAAAAAAAAAAAAAAAAAAATCAAGAAAAGTTACTCCTATTCAACACTAACATACTGTTCATACTTTAGTTTCCCAAAATACTTCAGAAGGTAATACAAGTTAGCACAAAGTTTTAAAGGGTTAAGTAGCAGTTCTAATTTTAATTTATTTTAGAATTCTACACAAGAATCTCTTTTCTAAAGCACTATAAATATATGTAGTTTACAGCAGCAGCAGAAATCTATTGCAAACACCCCATAGGCCTCCTGAGTTCCAGAGCAGAAGGATAGGAGACAAACCCCTTAAAAACAAAACAAAGCAGTCCCCTGTATGACATTAGTGTGCCACGTCCATGTATGTGCCAGTGAGAAATCTTGACACCTAGAGGGTGTTCAAATGGGCTAAGGCATCAGCAAGCACAGTGACTTAAGAAGTGTATTTTGGTTTGTTTAGAAAACCAGTTGTTCTGTAGTTGGGACAAATTGCCATGCAAAACCCATTTCTGGACTCCAGGTGTGATTTATGCAACTCATGCTGACTCTCTGGTCATCTTTGATAGACAGCATTATACTGTCTACCTTACACAGGACTTTTCTTGCCATGTTGCTCTAGTAGGTCTGCAAAATAGTTTAATAATCTCTAAGTCTGTGCCACAGAAAAAGATTAAACTGCTTATTTTGCTACAAGACAAGAAAAGTATCTAAAAATTAAAATAAAATTGGGAGGGAACAAAACTCTGCATTGCCCTCAAGATGGAATATAAACAGAGTGCTCTTCTGATATATACTGATTGTCCAAATGGAAAATAAGACCCAATGACATTTTTAGAACAGGCTAAACAACTCCCTATTCTAGCTAACAGTCTTTCTCTCTCTGGGGCGGAGAGGGAGGAGAGGGAGGAGAGGGAGGAGAGGGAGGAGAGGGAGGAGAGGGAGGAGAGGGAGGAGAGGGAGGAGAGGGAGGAGAGGGAGGAGAGGGAGGAGAGGGAGGAGAGGGAGGAGAGGGAGGAGAGGGAGGAGAGGGAGGAGAGGGAGGAGAGGGAGGAGAGGGAGGAGAGGGAGGAGAGGGAGGAGAGGGAGGAGAGGGAGGAGAGGGAGGAGAGGGAGGAGAGGGAGGAGAGGGAGGAGAGGGAGGAGAGGGAGGAGAGGGAGGAGAGGGAGGAGAGGGAGGAGAGGGAGGAGAGGGAGGAGAGGGAGGAGAGGGAGGAGAGGGAGGAGAGGGAGGAGAGGGAGGAGAGGGAGGAGAGGGAGGAGAGGGAGGAGAGGGAGGATGCAAAGTCATTTGTACATAGCTGAGACTGTAAGACTGTAACTCACAGGAGTGTCTGCATTGCTACTTAATTCACTCGAAGATTCATTCAGACAGTAGAAGGGGGGAAAAAGAAAAAAAAAAAAGCTATTTTCAGAAAAAGAAAAGAAACAAACCCAAATCCTATGTCTTCATTTTAGAAGGCAAGAAAACTGGAAATTATCCTCATGTAAATCTCAGACAAATCTGCATTTTGCTGAAACATGACCTTTGGGTTTAAGCCATGTATGAAACTAGCTCAGAGTTCCCCATTAAGCCTAGTTCTACTTGAGACACTGAGATGTTGAAAAACTTCAGAGTGAAAATTTAGTAACTGGATTACCACAGAGGAAAGAAGTTGAAAGAAAAATAGTATCATCTGTGACTTAAGTTTGTCTTTCAGGAAATGAAGATCCTTACAGTAGTAAATATACTTGAATTGTTTGCAAATAGGTTTAATCATCTAATTGCCATGTACAAGGAAAATCTATGCACTATCAGAACTCGGTACAGCTAATTACTAGAAGGCAAAATAAAGATTTTTCTCAGTGTGTGTGTTCTTCAGCTATTACATCTATCAATATTTATGTCACTTACAGTCCTTTCTGGGTGGCTGCTGCACGCATTTTGCGTGCAGTCAAGAAGCTTCCCGACTGCAAACATGCTTTTAAAAAGAAAAGCTGGCCTGAACTCTGCATTTCCAATTCAAGCAGTGGATTCTGCAGCCTGTTAACTCCCTGGAGCAGCTGATAGTTAAAGACTTGTTTCCGCTTTTCTAACAATTTCCTGGTTTGCATAACAATCCTAAAAGAAACACACTCAAGAAGTTTTCCAGCACAGAGATTTTGTGTCCAACATACTTCTAGTTTCAAGGCATAGAAAACATTTATACATAATTACAATAACTTCAGAGATATATTTGTCTACAGATATATTTACATATAAATATGTATCAGCTACTTGGTTTAAAACAAGATTATGATAATTTTGCTATATTCAGGAAATACAAAACACTAGCTTACGCCTGGTGCTTAACTCATGCCATTGTGAATAAAGTGGGGGGAGGGAAGGGGTTTAATGTTTAATTTCCTGTTAAAAACACACAGAGGATAAAATCTTCCAAAGAGCACTTATAAAACATGCGTTTGTTAGCCAAGAAACTAGGTAAATATGGAATGAAGCCCAGGCTCACTTTTATTCCTTCCCCCCTCTCTCCAAAGAACAAAGTAACTGAAGGCCACGGCGCATATTTGGAGGCACTGAGCTCTACTCAGTGACCAGGTAATCAATCAGCCTGGCTGATTTATGCACCCTGTATCCATTGGGGTAGTTCCTCAGATAACGCAATGATGCGGTTGGGCTCAAGGTACCGCATTGCCATGCACACCGCACATGGGCCAAACAACCGTTGCACCAACTACTGACTACCTTACTGACACAACTATCTGGCTAAACACAAATAAAATAAGCATTAGCACATAGTTGGGATCTACAAACAGCCAGTTTTAGCAACAACAGATTGAGAGCACAACTACCTCCTGTAGCAGCTGGAGACACTGCAGAGAATGTTTTTCTAGAAGTTACAAGGGAAAATACTATTTTCAGATCCCACTGAAACTCAGTGCTATCCATCCTGGAACTGTGACTTCACCTGCAGCAATTCAGCCTTCATCACAGTTCTACCACACATAATGACATATTAGGTTATTCTGCAATACACCACACTAGAACTCCCAGAAAAGTACCAAATTTTTGTATCATATATAACAGTTACAGCCTTTAACAATTCCAGTTCTGTTCTTTGTTGAGATGCCCGAATTAGATAAAAATATGGACTATATTTAGGAGAAATTGAACATGTATAACAGTTTTCAACAGTAACACTGTATTTTTGTCTCTTACAATAAAAGCAATCCACCAAGTACTTTCTGTCTTCTTTGTTAGGTTCAAGGTCAGGTCCTCAGTGCACACCTTGCAGCATGGAATTGGAGAAGTTGTGGTACTTCTTGTGACCTTCTGGGATTCGCATTCAAAATTAGATGTAAACAACTCCAAGTGGCTTCAATTTTGTTTTGTTTTTAAAATGGGGATAAATTTATTATTGCAGATACAGCTTAAGAGCTTTCTTAGCTTTTGGTAGCATATTATTCAAATTAACACAGCTTAAGCTTTTTAAGTAGATGCATCTCAAACACCTTCTAGTCAAGGCATTAAGTTTCATATTTGATGCAAGAAAAGAAAGGCACAGAGATTATGTATCTCTGGTGAATTAAATCTGATGGCAGGCATGCTGAATTTCTTGCAGACTCTGTAAAACTGTCTTTGAGACAATAAATGGTCCTGAGTTTATTCTAAAACCTGCATTTAACACCTATTAACACTTAAAAGGTATTTGTACTCTTTTCTTAAAAAAATCAACCACAGTTGACCACTGATTTAATGACAGTTCATCAGTGAATCTCATACTACTGCATGAGCTCAAAATCTTCCTGTTTATTTTCACTTGCTGATAACTGGACTTTGTGCCCTAATCCCATGATTCTTCATGTGAAAAGACAATTGACTAACAACATTAGGAGGAAGAAAGAGAATAGGGTGGAGAAAATCTGTAGCACAAGATGAGCCCTGACTCGCCTTCTCAGTACTGTACATACCCCCAGGCAATGAAATTTCAGGAAAATTATTATGTTTCTGGCCAACAGTCAAAATATATAAGATGTTATACACCCTTTGCCTCACTCTATGTTGCTACTGCAGACTCCATGCAAAAGCAAGATTATTTTTTTCTTTGCTTCTCAACAGTAAGACAAGTTTACAAGTATTTACTGCTAGTTACATCAAGGTATTAAAGATTCAAGTGAAGTAGTAGTATTTTCCAGTGCAGTGGTGACCTGAGCCTTTAATCCAGATGAATTTAACTGTAGAGTGCATTAGCTCTTCTCATAAAGGACTTGCTTTAATTCTAGTTCTCTCTGTATTTATCTTATGGCTGCATAATCTTCAGTAGAGGTCAGAGAGATTTCCCCAAAGAAAGAGGAGCTGCTTCTTTTTTAGAGGGGAAAAGCATATTTAAGACAGTTCGTCCTACTTTCAAACAAACATATGTCACAGGACAATACTCTCTACACTGTCCTTTCTCTGTATTCTCCTTGCTTCTTTACATGTTCCAAAGCAATTAAACAAGCATGCATGTACATGCACACACGTATACAAATGAAATGCAAATGAAAACACCTAATGAAGATAGGACATACAGCCCATCTGCTGCAAAGACTGAAATTATTACTAACATCTTACCATCATCCAGTTCAAGACAGAGATTGTAAACAGCCAGAGGCCTCTTAATACGTTGTCCTTGTCTTCTTGATTGCCTTGGTGGGGCATTTGGAGGAGATAGTGACATAGAGATTGGCTCAGGGAAAGTGGCATCAGGCAGGGTTTTGAAAATCTGCAACCAAGAACACAAAGGGTGTTAATTATTTATCACGAAGAGCAACCTGTGTAATGCAACTGTAAACCATTATCAAACAACATTTGTTTTGGATTTCATTCAAAGCAGGCAGGAGCCAAAAATCCATTCCTTCAAGTTTGGGAGTATGCTATGGGTTTTTAATGAGTGCTTTTAAAATAAATAAATAAATACCTACCTACACACAGACATAAATAAATAAATAAATAAAATACGAAAATAAGCAAGAGCACTGTCTAAACATTAACCAAGCTGCAAATCAGTTAATCCAAAGACAAAATATTTGCAGCCATGCTTGCCAGCTACAATGGAGGAGAAAGGGAAAAAGGAAGATACTAACTTTTATGAACCAGTAACCAAAAAGCTTTATAAGCTTTAGCTAGGACCTGTAATTTTGCCAGAATACCCATTTTAATTTTCAAAACTTGTGATATCGTTATAATACCAGCCATTTTAATTTTAAAAAAATCACTCTCTTGTAGAGAGCAAGGGGAAAATTTTGAGGGAAGGGGTTTTTAGTGAGAGATACCATAGTAACATACCACGTGAGATTTTTTTTTTCAGTTAACTATTGCATATTGAGTCTCACATTTATACTAAATTATGTTATTCAGAAAGATGCACATGAAAAAGATTGCATTTCTTGTCATCATGCTATCTTTTGAGTCATGATCATTGGCATATCACCACTCCATAGAAAATACCATGTCATTTCTCTCTGGATTAACCAGCAATGCAGATTTGCTCAACCTGATAGCATTTCTACTTTAACTGTCACATATAGGGTGAAGTCTAATGATGCTGATTTCCTTATAGAAAAGTATGAGTATACTGATGTACAACTTAACAGCAGCCTTTTACAAGTGATCATGGCAGATTCACATGAACAAATTAGCTTAATACATATTTCATCAAAGACAAACCAGCAGATACAGAGATAAAGAACAACACAAGCAGTAGCTTTACAAGAAAAGCTCTGTGTCTGTATGGTACCTTACAGCAACGCAACAAGGTAATATAACAAGATATAATGAAACAGTATACAGTGTTCTTTTACTCTGCAACTTTACATTGCCACATAACTGCAAAGGAAATATTATAAACTTGCAATGAATCTTCCAAGCAGAAGCTTTTTATGAAGTAGAAGTTCATGCAGAAAGTATAAAGAGACACTACAGATAACACATTTTTGGATTATTACAGGGCATGCCAGGTGCAGCATGAAGCTAAGAGCCAGCCAGGTTCCTCTACAGGTGAGAAAAATGCCATAAGCATGCTGTGGTAAGGCACTCAAAGCATCATGTTGAAAGTATAAGAAACTCTGCATACCATCATATTCTGGCCTGTTAACCCTGTATATTAACATGCGTAAGAATACAATGACCCAAGAACCCACTTATACACTGGCTTATAGCCACTAATCATCAGTCTCGTACTGGCAAGACGACAACTGTGCTGGTACAAAGTAATCAGAAACACCATTTTCCATTAAAACTGGAAGAACAATCATACTGCCAAAACTGGGCAGCAGTGGGCCAGAAGCCTATAGATGGTGTGCAAAGAAAAGCTCCAGTGGAAATACTACCTTCCTTCCCAATACGTGAATGTTGCTGTGGGGAAGTAAAGTGATATAATTTGAACTTCCCCATACCAGTGTTAAGAAAACTGGCTCCCACTCCTTCACATGCGTATGAACAAGGGATTACGACAGAGTGCCAAAATAGTGCAAGGAACTCTCTAAAAACAAAATGTTTATAAAGAAGAAAGTAAACAGTCCAACCTGGTTCTCCCCAGTACAGACACGGCAGCACTCTCAGACAGCGACAAAGCTCTAATTGTGTTCAGAGTGCTAAAGCCATTTCTTAAAACGTGATGCAATAACGAAATCTAATGTGCACCTAACATGGCACTCGGCTAACAGTACCATACTGCCCCCTTATGTGTAAATACAAGGCTAGATTGAGCAGTTTTAAGGATAAATACTTGCTTCTAAAAAATTCAGAAGTACCAAAACTTTCAATGCCATCTTTTCCATGGACTAGGTGTTGCATTTGGGCTCTCTGGTAAACAACTCTCTGCCAAGAGGTTTCAGCATGTTTACTATGTCACATTCTGCAGCTGTGTTTATTTGTACAGTCTTACCCACAAATCTCCACTGAAATTAAAGATGGTCAGAAGAACAAGTATTCCCTGGGAGTACTTCATAAGATATGAGCTTTCTTGTATGCATTCAGGTGACTTGCACAGGTTGCAGTAAAGTTCTTAAGTGTTTTTTCCTTGTCTCTCACAAATATTTCAATATACTCTTCTAAAACTATTAGCATGAGAAACTGGAAGAGTCACAAAAGCAAAACAGAATCAAGAAAACCATAAAGGTGATCCTTACTCAATGATACTCAGTGCCAGACAGGCAACAGGATAATGAATCGGAGACTGGTAACAATCCAAGTAGATATCTAATTGCAAGTAGCCATAACGTGAAAAAAAAAAGATGGTGGTTTGTTCTGTTTTATGGAGGAAAAACCCCTATACAATAATAATTGGAGAAATAACAAGAAAGCAGTGAAGTCACACTTCAAACATTGGCAGTCCAGCATATGCTAGCTAACTTCAGTGATATCAGTGACAGGTAGTTATAAGCTGCCCAGAATAGTCCTCTCTCCTCTAATAAATCAAAAATTAGGGGTAGTGAGTCCTCTCTTTCACTGTCAAGATATGCATATCTACTTTTAATTTTTTTTAGTGGCAGAGCTGTGCACAAATGTTTCCCAACTGCACTGCTCAGCCCAACCCAGTGCTACCCAGTCACAGTGCTGGGCTGATGGTAGGCAGTCAAGTTCCCTTCTGCAGAGAAGACGCTCAGGCAGGCATCAGGCCCATCCTCTGTTTTACCTCACTCTGCTCTTGACTACTTCTTGTAACAGGTTAGTAGGGCAGTTTAATTTCTAGGATAAGGTCATTAAGTAGCCTATGCTTTCTAGGGAGCAGAGATCACCTCCTGAAAGCTCCTGGGTAGCACAAGGCCACCTGTTCTCCTTTTCCACACCCACTGAGACCAGGGCAAGGGTCCACACAAACTCCATCCTCTCACTCCTGCCTCTCTCTGATGCAATGTTACAAGCTGTAGAAGCTTTTTCCTTGTGCTTGCATTCAGTATCTGTCTTCACAGAGAAGAAAGGGATAGATACAAACTAGGGAACACAATCTCTTGACTATCTGCAGAGCAAATTCACCCATGCAGACCAAATTGAGACAAACTGTCATACTCCACAATGAAATCACCAAGTACCACTAACTGCCCTGCAGGATTCTGAGACATACAAAAACAAACAAACAAAACCCCTAAAAACCACACATGATACCACCACTAGAAAGATCACTCGAGGTTTTTTTTATATAAAAGGAACGAGAAACATCCTGCCCTCATGTGTTGCACAAAAAAAGTGTATTTGGGGTCATTCTTGCTCTTTCAAGCAGCTCATACATGTGTTCATCCCTACTTCAGTATTTTCTTTTTGTCTTTTCAGTAGGAAAAGAAAATCCAGTACAGCTCATCCATAACTAGACTTGCTTTTTCGGCAGCAGAAATCTCTTTCTTTTGCAGGCCAAAGCTGCAGCTTGTACCACAGTTTTGCAAAGGAAAGCATCTGAAAAGCAAGGAGAAGGTCAACCTCTGCCCTAAGAGGTGCACATACAGCATTCAGCTTCTCTTTCTTGATTTTCACTTAAATAGACAAGTACTTTTCATCATGCCTTAATGGATATTTGTCTGCTGCACCGACAGAAGCATTATAACCTCTCCCTGAGAATGGGGGGAAGGGGGCATGCTTTATTTCAGTTGTGGGGAGAAAAGTTTTTTGGGTTTGGTTTTATTCAAATTTTCTTCTAGCTTTATTAATTATTTAAATGCAATTTAAGTATAAATGTTTCACAGATAATAAAAGACGCCTGCTGGGAGTGACCTGTGGTCAGAAGCACACTGCCTACAAGCAAAAGATGGAATTCAAAAATCATACACACACAGTGTGAGCACATGAAATGGTACTAACATTGCCGTGTTTCGACTGACTTGCACAACAGCATGGGACCACCCCTGACTAAGTTTCAGAATATCTTCTTGCACTGCAAGCTGTTGCTATCAGATGCATGGCAAGGCAACCACACACATCCAATTGGATGGAAATCCTCCCACAAGAATAGGATTGGAACATGGTATTTAATAGAAGATCTCTTCGCTACTCCAAAAAAAAAAAGCCTCCCTTCAAGTAAAAGTCAGATGTACCATCATCACACTCATCTGGATTGCTGAAGTTACCAGAGTTTAGACTAAAGCCTGTATAAAGACAAGCATGAAGTAAGTCTGCTCATTGAATTACCTCATTCAAGAAGCAAAAAAAAAAAAATGTACTAAACCAACCTCAAAAGTTTAAGAACTTCACTGTCACATCCAGTGCTACACAGTTTTTGAGACTGTGGCCAAACTGCATCAGACTCCTAGAATATCAGTTCTCTACAATTTAGTTCTCAAAAGCACTGGCATCCTGCTACTAACCTACCTGGGGGCAAACTCGGAAGCTAAGTGAAACAATTTAGATACGAGAGAAGACTAACACATGCAGCACCCAAAATTTTACCAAGCAACAAATCCGACTGTTAGGCAGTCCTATCCCAATTAGTCCGGCATTTTAAATGGTTGTTTAGGTCTGACCTTACATGAAAGTAGAATTCAAAAGTGCACACTGAATGAAGTGGTGGATCAGTCTTCAAGTTGGCAGTGTAAAAGTTACAACAAAAAAAAAAGATGAGACTCTTGTCAAGAAATTTAAGAGACTAGTATGTTTGATCTATTTCTCCCTATGCAACAGTACAAAATGGATACTTTACAAGGCTAAACAAACCACAAACCATCTTGGATATACATTGCTAATAACAGCTCTGTCTAGAGCAGTGAGCCCAAGACCATCCCTATTCCTAAATCT